TTTGCCAGCATTTCTTGAAAGTGAGGTCATTATCAACCCAAGTTTCGTCCAAATAAATAATATGCCTTCCTTCTTCCCGGAACTTTTTAATAGACCTAAGATACTTGTATCGCCAATGTAAAATACTGGGTCTTTCCATTAGTAATTTCCTTTTGTTGTGGCATTTACGCCAGTAAAATCCTTTTGCTTTTAAAAGCAGCCTCAACGATTCTTTACCAAATGGAAATTCCATTTCTTCCTTCAGTTTGATTAGAAGTTTACTACAAGTAGGTACCACTTTAAAATCACAGTAAAATTTTTCTATCATTCTCCGAATAATGGAAAAATCGACTCCATCAATTTTTTGGATCACAGAAGGGCGTGATCTCTTTTTTCCGGGAGAAGCTAAAGGCTGTGTGGAGGTTGCATTTTGCCTGTCTTTATCTTCTTTTCTAATTTTACTTATAGTTCGTTCACTAACACCCGTATAATATGCCGCCCTTGCATTTCTAGCTACCAGTGGATAAACGAAAGTATTGTTAGCCGCTTCTGCATCGCAAGCACGTATCACGTTTGCTATTATTTCCCTTGCCTGGCTGTGAATAACTTTCCCATGCTTGAATTCCATTATCACCACTAAACAGTAAATTATATTTTCAAAGTATTTGCCAACTGCCTACGCCTATGGGAGTAGGTTTATAAATGACCGTGCCATCGGCACGTTATTCTAGTTTCAGATAAGATAAGAGTTTTGGACCAATCAGCGACCGGATGTTTACCTGCGGCCTGGGTTTTCCAGCTACATTGCCAAATTCAGCGGAACAATTCTATATCTTAAATATGTTAATATGTATGGACCGCATTTTATGTAGAACATCTGACAACTTCGCAATTTTTTGTCCGCATTCTTTCGGCTTGCAATCTTTCGCTGGTCCAACTTTACAAACTATGGTCTAAAAATGTTTCCTTACAAAAACTCGGGGTGTTGAACTTTTAGAAAAAAAAATTAAATTAATTAATATTTTGAGAACCGCTTCAGATATTTCACTGATATTTAGTACATAGTGAAAGTTAATAAATTTGCATATTTTTCAATGCAAAAATAATTTTTAGCTTTAACAGTGGCGTAAGTACAGGTATTGACTTCGATATTTTTGAAGGAAAAAATGGTACGCCAATGATTTTTTGCCTAATAATAATTATTTTTTAATTCCTCGTTCAATTTAAAACAAATGATCTCTTCTAAATTGTTTTCCTTTGATGCGCCGTTTTTGAGTAAACAATAAAAACCGTTCTATTGTCCGAGGAAATTAATGTAATAATTGAAGAATGCAATTGCAATGAATATCTAGTTGCTCTAGAATATGTCACGGGATTTTGACATCTGACAAGTTACTGTGATTAAAATCTGCTCGCTGTAACATCTTTTTCATTATGTAGTTTTTACAATCTTGTTAATAATGGTGAATTATTCAAATGCATAAATGGCGGAAATGCATTACGTATATGGCCTTGCCGACGGTAATGGTGAGCAAGCCAGACGGATTTATCACCAAAGATATCCCGATCGTGCTTTGCCAGATAGTCGAACCTTTTATAATATTCATCGTCGTCTTGTTGAATCTGGTTCTGCCCGAAAAGAAACATTTGAAGGTACACCTCTAAGTGAGAGAACACCTGAAATTGAGGAATCAGTGCTGCACGAAGTCGAAGAACATCCTCAAACGAGAACGAGGAAGATAGCTAGACACTTAAATATTTGCCATCAAATTGTTTGGGTTTTTTTGTTATATCCTTACCATATTTTAAGAGTATAGGCATTACTTCCCATTGATTTTCCAAGGCGTGTGACCTTTTGTCAGTGGTATGCTAGTACTAGGTTTCTGTTTCGATCGGTTGCGATGTTCGACGAGTCCCGATGGGGATGTGAATGCGAACGAGCAAAATAGCAAGCCAAAAAAGCGGATTTAACGATATTTTCAGAAGAGCCACTGGAATTACTTAACGCCAATTCCATTTCATCCTGTTTGATACCGACAAAGCGTACATGTGTCCGTTTTATTGGTTAATTGTCCGCTGCAATTTTCAACGTGCCACCGACATGGAAATAACCAAAAACAAATGCGATACTTTTTGTAGGGCGTGGACCGGACGGCTGCCCCGCGGCGCGGCATGGCCGCAATTTAATAAAATTCTGCTCTTCTCTCGTAATATTTGTACAACGAAAGGCTACCGTATTGTTTGCTATGAAAAGTACTGTGCGTTTTCAGGTTGACAGAATTTGAAATGGCGGATATCTATAAATAAAATAAAAAATCAAGCATATACAGGGTGTGTCAAATTCGATCCTCAGCATTGGGATATTGGAAACTGTGGCTTTAATACAGAGAAAAGTTGTGTTTTTAGATAATCATCAAAATGCCATTTAGAAGTTTTCGAAATTCAAAGTACTTTATTTGTAGTGGGATTTCAAAATAAATTGCGCATTGCCACTTTTTCTCCTCTACAAAATGGAATGACTAGAGTTTCAGTAATATGTTTCGTTTCTTGTCATTAACTCTATTTTTCTTCTGGACGCCATATCGTTTTCGATTCTGATTCCAGAAATGTATGTTATGTCATACATTTTTTCATTTAATAGTCATCGTATAGGCGTGATTGTGAAAATTATAAATCGACATTTTGCGGTGGTCATCATATTGGACTCCCCTTGCTTGATATGCTTCTCTCATGGATACCTTCAATTTGACGCTTAGGCCATAGGGGTGACTACGATTATTATAAACGCCATCATGAAGCGGTCACCATCGCAGTCACTGATCAACAGCCAAAAAATATCTTAAATAAAATCATCAAAATATTACTATTTTTAATGTGCTAAAACCGGAATGAAACTTATTTTTTTAATATTAGTTCAAGTTTTAGAGATACGGTAATTATATGTGTTCCTGCTGTGACAGTGTTAATATACTGTAATTCACAAGAATACACGTGCTACATTTTTATATTCGGCAAGGAAAGATGATGTAATCGGCATGATTGTGTTACGTTATACATACGTGTACATTATATTGTTTTATATTAGCCATTTTTTCCTCAGTTGGCGGACAGCGTTCATGCAAGATGTCCCGAAAGTGTGTAAACAATCCAGATCAGTTTTGTTACGTGTGTGGTGATGTGACTTTTGCGTCTCAGAGACGGTCTATTACTCCACTAATAACAAAGGCATATCAGCTTTATTTCGGTTGTAAACTAGATGATCAAGACAAACAGTGGGCACCCCACATCTGCTGTAATACATGTGCTTCAAGTCTGAGGAGCTGGTTAAATGGCAAAAAAACGGTCTATGTGCTTTGCTGTCCCAATGGTTTGGAGAGAGCCTACAAATCATATTAATGATTGTTACTTTTGCATGGTACCTTGTGTTGGACAAGCCATAGTATGTCCAAGAAAAAAAAATCGGTTATTAACTACCCAAACATACCATCTGCGATGAGACCTGTGCCTCACAGTGACGAAAATCCTATTCCAAAACCCCCAGAATCCAACACTTGCGAATCAGAAAACGAATCAGATCATGGCGATCGAGTGATTCGTCAGGAAGAAGATATGCCATCAACGTCAAGAGATCCTGATTTTATACCGAGCACGTCATGCCACCAACCGCACAAAATAACACAGTCAGAATTAAATGATCTTGTAAGAGATTTAGAACTTCCAAAATGTAAGACTGCAGCAGTGGAACTTGTTAGAAGACGATGTTTCGGTATGTGTTTTTCGTAAACGCCACAAAGACTTAGAACCATTTTTCAATATGGAGAATAACTTGGTTTTCTGCAGTAACATTAACGGCTTACTGGCGGCTTTAATTATAAACTATAACCCAGAAGAATGGAGATTGTTTATAGACAGTTCAACATTGAGTTTAAAGGCAGTGTTATTGCATATTGGAAACATTTTATCATCTCTTCCTGTAGGGTATGCAGTTCACATGAAAGAATCATATGACAATATGAAGTACCTATTGACATGCATAAAATACGATGAGCACCAATGGCATATTTGTGGCGATTTGAAAGGTGTTGCACTTTTACTTGGGCTGCAGCTAGGCTACACAAAGGTTTGCTGTTTTTTGTGTGAATGAAACAGTCGGGCAAAGGCACTCCATCAGACAAAACTGGCCTGTTCGTCAATTCCTAGAGCCAGGTCAAAAAAATGTACAGCATATGCCATTAGTAGATTCGAAAAAAAAATTATTACCACCACTGTATATCAAGTTGGGCCTAATGAAAAACTTTGCCAAGGCATTAGATACCTGCTTTGAAAGATACACAGTTTGAAAATACTTTAACAGGTATTGAAAAAACTGCTTGGAATGATTTCCGTCTGCTGGTCACTAATTTCTTGGGAAATAGAAAAGCTGACAACTATAAAACCCTTGTCAAAAATATGCTGTCATCGTATCAAAAGATGTGCTGTAATATGTCTCTTAAGATACATTTCCTACACTCACACCTGGACTTTTTTCCTGACAATTGCGGAGCCGTAAGTGATGAGCACGGCGAACGTTTTCATCAGGACATTTCAACAATGGAAAAAAGGTACCAGGGAAAGTGGAATCCTTCCATGCTTGCAGACTACTGTTGGACTCTTGGTAGAGATGCTCCAGAAACGATCCATAAAAGAACAGCAAAAAGACAGCGCATATAGTGATTCTTATAAGTATATGAATCTTGTTATTTTTTTTAATATATCCTTAAAAATAAAAAGTTTTTTTTCTAAACCGCAACTAATTTTTTTATTTCATTGTCATTTTTGGATTCAGCGCCCCAAAATTAACAAAGAAGTGCACTTTTCCCACAAGATACAGTTAAAAAACTAAAATTTGTTGTCCAGTGAGACGGAGGTACGGGATGTCAGGATTTCGAAACAATACAACATGCGAATGGTGGATGCCAAGCATTTTTTTTATACCGAAGCAGCCGGGCAGGCAGAAGCCTAAAGCCGGAACAGCGCGGCTGCTATGAGGATCCCAAAGACATTTTTTTATTCCGATTTTTGAACTGCCTAAGGTTAGTAGAACTGGGAAAAGCTTCCTCTTGTAGCTTGTTCCGCAATCTCAATACCATCGGGACAAAGGAGCGGTCGTATCGGCGAGTTCTGGATGTTCGAAGTTCGACACGGTTAGAATGGACAGTCAAGTCCGGCGGGTCTGTCTGGCAGGCACATTGTGTGGAGACATCGTGGAAGAGAGCTCTGAGGAGCAAAGCCCGTTGTTGTAGCGGCAGAAGAGAGCTTGATCGCCGACTACCCGCCGCCGCCGATGCGAAAGGGTCCCGAGACTGTCAGCTAGAGAAGAGTCATCGTCTAATCGGACTGCCCTCCTGTGGACAGGTGGACAGGATCGAGCATAAATAATTTAGTCCGGGCGGCAACACCTCAAACGTGTGAGCTTTTTTTCCAGCGGCTTCCTCTATTGGCGAGAGGTGTTCGTGCAAGATCAAGTCCTCGGTGATCTGGACTCCGCCAGAGGTGGCCATTTGCGCGATATCATTTTTGAAAAGTAATTACAACAAATCTCCTTGGATCAAAGCAGACGACTTTTCAAGTGAACAACAAAAAATGTTTTTTAATGTATTTTCTTATAAACAATGTTAAATGGCCCACCCTGTATATAGACATATGCTTTGAAATTAAGGATTTGGGCAAATATAAAAAAGTAAGGGTAGTGCCAATTGTGGTGTCTAATAAGCAGAAACTCTTCAAATCTCTTCACGAGCTGGACATACAACCACACCACTACGAACTAACGCAAAAGTCCGTCATCTTAAATACAAGCCACTTGACCAGGCGTTTCTTCGGATGCAGTAGTTACAACCGAATATGGTTTGGACGACGTGAAATCCTTCAACCATACCATCGCTACATTGGTCATGAATCGTGAAAAAAACGGAAATATATAATGATAATAATAATGAATGCTTCTTATTGGCAAGATAAACACACGAATAAATATTATAGAACTTAAACAAATTCTAGCTACTTTCCTGTCAAACGAAGAATTCGGATTTTATTACCGTATAGTAAGATCTGCTCTTCCATTCAACCGAAAATCAACTATTTTCCCTGACTACTAGTATTTCTACTAGCACGACACTGACTTCAAACCTTGTCATAAGTATGTATTCTGGCTCGGTATAAAAGCACATTAAATTCCAAATCAAAGTACCTCTGATCTTAGTTTTTATTGCAGCTTCTGTTCCAAAAGAGTCTAACTGCACCGGAGGTCACATACGAGGGATGTCTTTTAAGTTTTGCATATGGAAATAAAACAACACGGTAGGTCATTTTAAATGACTTCATTGTTTTTCGAAGTATTCTCTATGAAGATTAATACACATCGGCATGCGCTCGAACCAATTTTCGAAGCACTTATTCTACTCGTTTGCTGGCAGATCCAAAACGGCATTTTTGAATGCATCGACTACTTCTTCTGGTGACTGTAACCTTTGACCACGCAGTCTGTTTTTAATTTTCGGGAAAGTAAACAAATCGCTAGGACTTAGATCGGGACTATATGGAGGATGGTCCAATAATTCCACGTTTTCTTTCGTTAAATACTATATTGTTTTTTGGGCTGTGTGCGAGCTTGCATTGTCTTGGTAGAGGATGATTCTTCTTTCGGGGTTGATTTTTCGAAGTTCGGTGATGACTTTTGGCAAACAAATGGTGGTATGTCAATCCGCAGTAACAGTTCCTTGCTTTTTAAGAGGAATTGTTGCAATATGACCCGCTTTTGACACAAATTTCGATACCATCTTTTTCGAAACACTTCGAGAACGGATGACTTTTGTTGGCTTTTCTTCACCTTGGGACACCCGGACAGCCGACTGTCGTTTATTTTCTGGTTCGTAACAGTAAATCCACGATTCATCACCAATAACAATGGTGTACATATGTTTTGAGTTTGCGGTCAAGCGTTTTTTGACACCAATTAACCCTGGCTGCTTTCTGCTCTTCAGTCAACAGGTGGGGTATCCAACGAGAAACTAATTTTCTTATTCCTAATTCTCCATGTAAAATTATTTGAATTTAGGTCTTTGAGATCTTCAAGGACGCCTCAATCTCGCGATATGTCACATGTGTATCTTCAATGATGACAGCATCGACGTTTTCCTGGGTGACTTGGTCTCACTTAAAAATTCACTGTAGTGAGACCACTGCACGTATTCTTGTGAAACTTTGAATTTAAGTTTACTAAAGGGTGAGGTTAAGATTCAGTACTGGCGTTCGATCCGCGCGGCCTACTATGCATAACTTAAAAGACGTACGCTCCCTGGCTATGTGCCCATTTTCTATAATCGTCTATTCAATTCATTTAATCAAATTGCATGTCTAGATTATGAGTCGGATACGAAATTGGTAAAGTAAGAAAAATGTCGTCTTGGTCAAAATTACATGACAAAATTAACACGATGCGCGGCCACGGACGTGACAGTAGAGAGTTATATTATTTTCGCCGTGCTCACGTGCCCACCCTCAGCTCGCACAACGAGCTACAGAAAGAAATGAAAAAAGGGCCGACACAGTTTATTTTGTTACGGTTTGTTTTCGGATGGATGCGAGAGAGAAGCGGCGGACAGTTTCGGGCAAATAAACTGCATACCATGGAGAAATAAACAATGCTATGCCGCACATATCTGAATGTATGATAAATTTAAATCCTGCAGATTAGCTCACTCAGCGCTTATGTATGTCACCCAGCGGTATTTATAGCTGGAGTGTAATTCATGCACACGCGTACGTTTATACATGTACATAGGTAAGCCTTTACTGATGGAATAAAATGCAGCGTGCGCGGTAATGCAGGTAGATGTACACCTGGTGTGTGCTGCCGGCAGCGGTTGAGTGATACTTCAAAGATAAATCTTTCGCTTGTATATTTGTGAATGAAAGCGATGAGATATTTTTCGTTTACTCTGTACAAGCTGATATAGTCGAACTGGTGCATTCTGTATGTGGCAGTTGCGACAATGCACCAAATTAAGGGCCTTAAGTGGCCATGGAAGGAACCAAAAGACAAAAGGAGGTGGACCACGAGGCAGTAGAATGGTGCTTACCTGCATCCCTTGGTGCGGGAGTGGTCCTCTACTCTCTTCTGGAACCTCTTAACGGGGCTCCTACAATCACGAGCACCATCTGCTGAGGATTTAAATCAGGTGATCGGGCTGGCCGCGGTATTGTACCAGACCGCCTTATCCATCTGCCTGGAAAGTTTTGATCGAGATACTCTCTCACTGAGAGTGCATAGTGCGCTGGGCAGCCATCATGCTGAAACCACATGTCCCTGTAAATATTCAGTGGCACGTCCACCAATAAATTTTGTACATGATTTTTCAAAAAATCCAAATGACTTCAGCAGTCAAAGTTTCTGGGAACTCAAACGGACCGATTATTTTACCATTTAAAATTCCTGTCCAATGGTTTATCTTGAAGCGATATTGAGATTTATCTTCTCTCATCAAATGTGGGTTTGCTACGTGCCACTCGTGTAAGTTATGCAGGTTCATGTACCCATCTTTCTTAAATGTGGTCTCATCCGACCATAAAATTTTTTCAAAGAACTGTGGATCTTTCCTGTGTCTTTCTAACATTGTGCGACAAAAAGCAACTCGGGGCTCATAACACGCTTGAACACGCTGTATGTGGTATGGATGAAGCACATCACTTACTTGCTATTGCACACTTTGATACCGATCAGTACTCCTTCGTTTACTGCGCATCTTTACATGTTCGTGCTTGTTAATTTCGTACTGTTACTAATTTTGGATTCGTGAACTGGACTGGTGATGGCTTGTGATTTGGATTTGGACTGTTTAATTGCCCTTCAAAACAACATTTGCTTTCCGTAGACTATCTTTGATAGTGTGATTGTGCAGTGCCGCTATGTCCGTGTACACCGTACAAGAATATGCTAACATGCACCTCATTTATGGGGAATGCAGATGCAACGCTAGTGCTGCAGCGAGACTTTACTGTGAGAGGTACCCGAATGCAGCTCGTCATCCAGATCATCGAGTGTTCATAAATGTGCACCGCTTACTGCTCTCGTAGGCCAACTACCAAACCAATCACACGGTGAGGGAAGATCTTTCCTTCCTTACGAAGACGTGGTGCTAGGAGCTGTCGAAGAAGACCCGAGTACTTCAGTGCGTGCAATAGAACTAAAAACAGGTGTGCCCAAAAGTACAGCCCATAGAATCTTGCACAAAAACGTGCTCCATCCATACCACGTACAGCGTGTTCAAGCTCTTCTGCCCCGGGATTATGAGCGCCGAGTTGCTTTTTGTCGCACAATGTTAGAAAGACACAGGGAAGATCCACGGTTCTTTGAAAAAAATTTATGGTCAGATGAGACCACATTTAAGAAAGATGGGTACATGAACTTGCATAACTTACACGAGTGGCACGTAGCAAACCCACATTTGATGAGAGAAGATAAATCTCAATATCGCTTCAAGATAAACTATTGGACAGGAATTTTAAATGGTAAAATAATCGGTCCGTTTGAGTTACCAGAGACTTTGACTGCTGAGGTTTATTTAGGTTTTTCGCAAAATCATTTAGAAAAATTATTGGTGGACGTGCCACTGAGTATTTACAGGGACATGTGGTTTCAGCATGATGGCTGCCCAGCGCACTATGCACTCTCAGTGAGAGAGTATCTCGATCAAAACTTTCCAGGCAGATGGATAGGGCGGTCTGGTACACTACCGTGGCCAGCCCGGTCACCAGATTTGAATCCGTTAGATTTTTTTTTACTGGGGAACTGTAAAAGAAAAAGTGTATTTCAAGCCGATTCAAAATGTAGCTGAGCTACGGCAAAGACTATTGGAAGCAGCTGAGTTTGTTAATAACCGTGGATTCGCTCGTTTAATAACCCGATCTTGTCGAGCGTGTATTGCGGCTGAAGGAAAACAGTTTGAGCATTTGCTGTAAAGGTAAATCATCATCAGCAGCATTTTGACGCCCACTGATGTGCAAACAGTTATCCTTAAGGGTCCTTGTGCGTTTTCATAACCGCTGTTTAATTAGGAAATTTTGAAAAATTTTCATCAGTTTTTCTTCAAATAAAAATTGTGCATAAGTTAACGAGTAATCTTCTAAGTGTTATACCATTTTGGAATCCATATTAAATGCGCCAACTTTTAAGGTTACTTGCCAAACTCTCGTAGTACATTTTTTTCTAGTACAGCCAGTTAAATTGAGCAAAGTTTTACTTTGGAATACTTGGTTGGGAAATAATTGGCAATTTTTCCTGAACCAGAAAAGTTGGCAGTAAGATTGAGCCACCAGTTTGAAGATGGATTATTCATCATTACATTGTAAAAATAAAATCCAAAAAAAGTTAATATTTGTAGTAACATGAGTTGACAGACTGCCGTAGGGTGTGACATTTCTATATTTTTTTCAAAGACCTATAATTTTTTTTAAATATTTTTCTGATAGCTGTTATGACTTTGCCTATCACCCGGTTTCGGCTTGACGTCGACTTGTGGGACACCCTCTATATCTTATTTTAAATATGAGATCAGAAGAAAATTGTTCATCTTTTGAATGTTCATGCAAAAATTCAATATGTAGACTTTCAGTGGATTTCTTCGATGAGCGCGTGACAACTTCGCTTACAGTTCCCTACAGCCTTCCAATTTGGAACCCAACTATGATCGGCGAGTCACCTGCCACTGAGAAACATGCGAGTATGGAGTCAATACAAGTTCTCGCCTGCTTTCGCCTTCTCACCTCTTTTGTCAAAGCGCCAAAAGACCGACAGCAAGCCGAGAACCACATTCACATTTCTCATATTTTTCTCGCTGTCTCGCAAGATTCTAGCGTGATTGTGGAAAGCCTGTTAGATTCTCACAAGCAATATAAATCAGTTAAAACTATCCTGTGTCATTATTTGACTTCGGTAGCTAATATTTTTCTTTATTTTGTGAAATGAGACCTTCCAGAACATCTACGTCTTTGTCCACATTCCGCGCCTACAACAGAAGACGGGATTACGGCGTGCATTTATAGCAGAGGATAAACCGGGCTTTAACGGAATTGCAGATACGCCGTAGCTACTCAAAAAAAGAATTAATTTGTTTTCGGTTATATCCATGTCAGTTGAGCGTCGAAAATTGCACCCGACAATTGAATTACCAATAAAGCGGATGCAGACGCGTTGTTGGAGCTGGCGTTAAGTGAAGCTGGCCATGTGGAAAAGTGGAAAATATCGCGATGCCGGTTTTGGAGTGGGCGTGTGATAGTTCTGGCTGTCCGTACGAATGTTCGCGACAAGATGTACGAGCCTTTGTTACAACGTAATTCTATTTGAAATTGGACTTTGGTTCTTCCGTCATCGTTTATAGTTTCAAGTGTATGGAAAAAATGCTAGGTTATAGTGGTATACTCCATTTGACAGCGAGTGGAAGAAAAATAAGCTTGTCGTACGAAAAATAACAGTAGCTTGAACCGTTTTCTACATTCATACAGCCTGAGGGCCCACAGTGAGCGCTCTTTCAAATTTATACAATCAACAAAACTTATTGGACGATTGATGGAAACCGCAATGCTCTAAGGGCTACGGTTTACGAGATATGATCGTTTTTTATTCCTAGAGATAATGATACATGTGTAGCATATCACTGGAAAGGCAATAAATTACAGAAATTTTGTAAGTAAAACTAGGTTCTAAAAAAGGTGTAGTTTTTTTATAAGAGTCATTCTAAAATCGGTTGCAGAAAAACGTGATCTGAATTCTAAAAAAAAAACAAAAAACTAAATCTTGTTGAATTTAATTGTAAGATATCCATGTTATGCACATAACCTTACAAAATTCAATTTCAAAGCTAGGCGCGATCATTCATCTCTATTTTTTGATTTTTGGGAGATTTACTTGGTCAGGATACATAAAAATAACAACTCTGTTACTATCATTTATTTATTGATTACTTAAACAACAAAAATATCTTTTTATATTCTTCTTCGTAATTAACTTGAATTAAGCCTTTACTCTCATGTTTGACATGGAAAATCACAGTATTGTTTCTTACTTATGAATAATATTCTAAGTGACATATAAATCCGAACACCCAGTTTAAATGGTTTTATTTTAATAAAATTTTGTATAAGTACTTAATGAAGCATAATAAGTAAATGATAAAAATTTCAAAATGATTGCGCTGCTTTAAAGCCCTTTGACCTTTAATAATGTGTGGATGCACCCTGATGTGCTACGCATTCTCCAACACGCCTAGGCATGCTTCTGATCGGGTGGTCAATGTCCTCCTGTGGTATCTCATTCCAGGCAACCACCAACTCCTCTCGAAGTGCTTCTAGAGTCTGAGGAGGACGTTGCAAATTGAGCAATCTCCTACCCATCATATCCCACACGTGCTCAATTGGGGATAAGTCAGGAGATCTTGGTGGCCATGGTAACAATGTGACATCATTATATTGAAAGAAGTCTATTGTGACTATTGCAACATGTGGTCGGGCATTATCTTGTTGGAAAGTTGGATCTGCCAGGGTGTCAATATAGGGTAAAAGATGGGGTTCTAGAACTTCGTGGATATAACGCTGCGCGTTCATGTTACCTCTGATGAAGATTAAAGGTGACCTGGAACCATAAGCTATAGCACCCCAAACCATAGCTCCAACAGTGTGATGAACATGTCATTCAACAAAAAACTGTGGATTCCGCCTTTCACCACGTCGCCTTCTAACCCTGGCACGACCATCGTACATGCCTAAACAAAATCGAGACTCGTCACTAAAGACAATACTGTTCTATTCCTGATCCCAGAGTGACCGTTATCTGCACCACTGAAGGCGATTACGTCGGTGTTCTCGAGTTAAAGGGAGGACCCAGTGTGGCCGGTATCAAAACAAGCCAAAACTTCTCATTCGTCTGTAAACATTTCGCATGCCAATAGGTCTTCCGTGTTCTGCAAACCATTCATTTGCAATGGACCTGGTAGTGGAGAAACGGTCCCTTAAGGCTAATAATCTTAGGCGGCGATCTTCACGGTCTGTTGTTCTACGGCGGCGTCCAGTGCCCCTTGCTCTTTGCGTACGGCCTTCTCGAAGCCATGCCTGACAACACCTAACCACAGTGTCTACACTTCTTTGCACTCTAAATGCAATTGTCCGAAAAGAAAGTCCAGCTTCCCGAAGTCCCACTATACGGCCCCTATCAAACTCACTAAGTTGACGAAATCGTACAGGTCTCCGTACTCTAGGCATCGTAACCGATCGTAAAGGATGTCAAGAACCAAAATCCGCCAACGTTGATTCTTTACTGCGGCTGAAATATTCATTTTTAGAGCGTTAGTGAATTAAAAAAAAGCAGTATAAAAACCGGAATGTCCATCTGATAAGGGTGAACATTTTTTCACTTGTTATTTACAGTAAGATAAATACATTCACCAACTTTTAGTAAAATAAAACCATTTAAACTGGGTGTTCGGATTTATATGTCACTTAGTGTATATCATTTTCGACCAATTTAAACGTTGTTCCGGTATGGTCAACTTCAAAAATACTATTTTTACTTCTTCATAATCGTCTACTACATTCAACGCTTTTCCAAGGTAAATGTATTCGTTTTTAGAAGAGCAAATGTTTACTAGAACGTCGAATCCTTCTTTGATTTTACTAGGATGAATATTCTCCACTTCAAATAACTTGTTATCATCATCTTTTTCTTTTGACAATCAAGGTTGGTCATCACTAGATTCCAAGTCCAAACTGTATACAGCATTGTAAATTGACTTCCTGTTTTGAACAACTAAATTAGTAATATCTTCTAACGTAGCAGTATTTGATTGTTCAATCGTCTCTTTAGGCGGATAATAGGTTTTGGGACACATGCAAGAAGAGAAACCACGCTGGCAAAAACAACTCTCGATACTTTCTTCTGTGAAAACCTGATGTATTTTCATATAAAGGAACTATTTCTGTTGGAATTTTTCTCGCCATGTTTTCAAAGTGTTCATCAAGTATAAGGTACATCTTCACTTTGCTACTGTCTTTCAGAAGCTGATAGACTGGAAGAAGCATCAGAAATATTTTTCCCAATGCCAACACACTGGTCAGCTTAATAAAGCCACCGTCTGCCGCCCCCTTCCCATGTCCCGCCTCAAAATATTTCCAAGTAACTTTGACAAAGTCTGAGTCGCGGGTCCATCTGAAAAAATATTTCAGCAGCGGTGAGAGCCATAATGATGTCGTATAA